GCCAAGTGCGTCACCACCAGTCCAGCGCCTGGGGTGTAAGTCACACCACGATACAGGGCGAGTCCTTTCTTACGGGATATTCAGGAGCATCCGTGTGGATGCCCTGTAGCCTGGACTCTCACAAAGGAGGACCATCACAGGTATTGTCTCACCAGAGGGAGGGTGGTATTGTCCTCCCAGTGCCTTCCAGAGACTTGACTTCCTCCATGTCAGTGGTGAAGCAGCACCCACCCTCTCCCCCTGCTGTGTGCCTCCTAGAAACTTGCCTCCCCAGCCTGCTTGTCTCTTGATCCTGGGCTCTCTGGGATTTCTGCTGGCCAAGGAGGAGTGGGCCAGGATAAGTGGGCGTTCCCCATGGGAAGCTGTCGCATGAGATAGGACTTTTCTTTTGCCCCCAGGTCAGCTGTGTTGCTGCTGTAGGTCTGCTCAGAGTCTTTACTTCGGCTTGATCCTGGGCTGGAAATGCACGTGACGCTCTGCACGTAATTAAACAACAAAGGGCAGCTGCTCCGCGGGCTCTGGGCACCGTGCCATCCCCACCACTCGCTCTGAATTACCAGGACACAGTGCCCTCCTCCCTCCTTTGCCTGCCCAGCCTTAGTGGGGAACAGCATCCCGCCACGACAAGCCTTGGTCAGAGGCTGCAGGCTGGGGGAAGCCAGCAGGCTCCCAGGGGCTTCGGCAAGGCCACACACTGAGGAAAGGGACAAGCAGGGGGTCCAGCCTAGAACTCAGCTTTCCAGTGCCCCGTGTGTGAGGGAAGACGCTTCGGGGGAGCACAGCACTCTGCTGGTGGCAACCCCATGGTGAGGACACGGACAGGCATCCCGGGATGGGTCAGGTGGGAGCTGTGCCAGCTCAGGGTGCCCCTGGCAGCAGCGATGCCTCCTCCAAGGCATCGTTGGTGCAGTGCCAGGCAGGACTATCAGGCTGTGCAGCCCCCAGAAGACCAGCTGACACCACTGACTATGCCACCTTCCCCCCCTTCACCAGGCCACCGGCTCCGCTTCACTGGGGAAACAGCTGCTTGGCTTTTTCTTCCCTATTTTTTTGGTTGGTTCTGGGCCCAGGATATTTTGGGCAGTTCTCTGTTCCCAGCTACCCTGGGTGGCATAGGCGGTTCCTCAGGATGTGCTTTCCTCTGGAAGCTGCACAGGCTGTGAGCTGAAAAGGGGAAATGCCAAGCCCTGTATTTAAGACCCATGTTCGGAAGGAGAGACTCACGGCTCCAACAAACACGTGCATTCCATCAGCTGCCTACAAAAGAGAGCTGTGGTGTGTGGGGCCAGCACATGGTGTGGAGCATTTGAACGGGAGCAATGTCAAGAGGCTCGTGCAACGAAGGAGGTGCAGGGCAAAGGGTTTGTCTAGGAGACAGAGACCTTCTTCACTCAGGCAGCGAGAGAGACCACAGGCACAACATTTCACCCCTGCCAGAGGGCAGATGGGGAAATGTGGGTGTGAAACATGGAGGCAGAAAGAGCACGTCGGAAGCATTTACCCCGGTGCAGAGAGCCTGTCCTTAAACCAGCACCTTCAGCAGGGTTTGAGGGGAAACTAGTCTGGCCTGAGACGTTGCTTCAAATCATAGAAGTCCCACTTCCTGGGCTTAGCCAGGTTCCCTGCCCAAGAACTGGGGTGGGAACGTGCTGAAGGTGGTCCTGGGGATGGGAACAGGAACAGCTGGACCAGATGTGGGACTGCTTGGAGGTCAGAGCTGGAAACCCCATTTATGAGCACATCTTCCTCAAACCAAAACGCAGCATCCTCACGTCCCTCCAGCCTTACTCCACCCTGCTCCCAGCTGCGAACTGCTCCTGCCCAATTTTGTGTGCTAAAAACATCTTTCTGGGCGGTCAGTAAGCACGCAGCCAGATGGGAGAGGGCTGCAGCCTGAGACCGAAGGGGAGCAGGGGTGTTTTTGGGGTAGGTGGGCTGCAGCACAGGGCCAGACGGGCCTGGGCATCTGGGTGGGGGGCTGTGGGCTGGCTGGCACTGCAGAGGGACGTGTGTCAAGGTGGCAGTGCCAGGGCAGAGAGCCTTGCTTGGCTCGGGTCCATGCTGCTGAGGAGGGGTCACGGCAGGGGGACGTGCACAGATGGACTCAGGAAGGCGGGGAGGTCCTCACCGTGGAGAGCGGGCAGCAGGTCCTGCTCCCTCCCCTGGAAAGAAGTTGCTGGAGCAGAGCAGAGGGGAAGGAGGGATGGTCACCCAGCCCACATGTCCTGCCACCGCTCTGCCCAGCAGGGCCCTCCCGGGACCCCTGCGCCCTGCCGGGCTGTCCCCCCTCGCTTCTCCGCTCTCACCCCTCCTATCCCGGGTGAGACACGGGCAGAGCTGGTGGCTCCAGAAGCCACCTTGGGAGCAGGGACGGCAGCCTTGGGTGGCCGGTGCCACAAGAGGGAGTCCCTGCCCTGGCTGGTGCCACCAGCTGTGTGACAGTGTGATGCCCCAATGCCACCCCTCTCCCAGCCCAGCACAGCTCCCCGCAGAACTCCCGTATGTGTTGCTGGGCCCAAGGCAGGCTGTGATGACCCATCATGACCCAGATGCCACCCTGGAGGGGTCCATCTGCACCCTGGCACTATTGGGGCTCCCCTTACCCTCCTTCTGCCCACAGGTCTGGGGTTCTCCCCCCAGCTCTGTGGGAGATGTGCTGCAGGGGACCAGGATATGTGGGTTTTATTGTCACCTTGGGGCAGGGGCAAGAGGCAGTTCACAGAGGCACGGTGCACTGGCCTTTGTGCCACTGACGGCACTGCAAGACCCCTGTGTGAAAGAAGGTTCAGGGCTGGTGGGGTTGGGAGGGCTGAGGAAGACCCCACAGCAGGGCTCAGGGCTGGGGTCTACTGGGATCCTGTGGGTATTTTCCAGCTCTCCCTGCCAGAAGAGCCTCCTGGCTCCATCAGCACAGGCTGCAGCCCTGACCGAGGCAGATGCTGCGTGCTGGAGATGAAGCAGCAGCGTGTGGGGAGCCAGCCTCCCCAGCTCACATGGGGCCACATGCTGGTGCTGTGCAGGGAGCAGATGCCTGCCTGGCCACCCCAGGGCTGAATCTGACTGGGTTACCCTCCTGAGGCCTGATCCTGACCCACCACCTATGGGAGGACATCCCAGCCTGGCCTCAGCCCACCCCCATCACCATGGCCATGTCTGATGATCTGCAGGTACATCCCACATCGCGCTCCCTCAAGGACAGGCGTGGGGTAGGGACAGGATAAGCCTCAAATGTAGTTCTGTTATCTGTGAGGTCTCACGCAGGAACAGTCTTTGCTGTAGGGGACGGTGGTGAATATGTTACCAGTGCTTTCCACAAACCCTGACCCTCAAAAGCCACAGCTACTTCTCTTTTCCTTGTTGTTTTGCGGATGGCTTTGAGCCCTCAGTGTTCTTCCCTGTCAGAAGCAAAACTGATTGTGGGTGGTTTGGGTTTTTCCTCTCTTCAGTCTGAGTCCTGTTAGTTCATTGACAATCTAACCGGCCCTTCAGGAAACAGCCCGTCAATCATGTTTATGATGATCAAATTAACTGCCTTGGGGCCTCAGCCCAAATGAGAGGAAGGTATGTGGCTGTCTGGCTTTATTACAGGCAAAAATGTACATATCTGCTGTATGCTGTAGCAGGAAATCTGTATTAGAAAGCATCTAAGATGTGTTGAGACGGCTGTGCGAGGCTTAGTCCTGCTGCAAGGGCTAGAGCAGCATACGCAGAGCATGTGCAGCCCACACGCGATGTGCTCTTGGAAACACAGTGAGTGGTCCCAGAGAGCTGGAGCTCATCACCTCCCGTTGATCATACCATGCCAAGCTTGGATTCATGAGTTGCTGTGTGGCTTGACAGTCCCTTGGAAACCTTCGCTCGTTAGGACTCTGCTGTGTGGTTCCCAGTGAAGTAAGGCATCAGCAATTGCACCAGCAGCTCTAACATTAGGCTGTGTAAGAGCTAGGCATAGGACTGAGTGCGCTGGCTTTCAGTATATCTTCAACATTTCTCTAATGCATGCTATACACCAAAACAAAGAATCTCAAAAAATGATAAAATTCTAAGGAAGAAGAGGCCAAACACAGATTGTTAAGCCCCAGTGCATTTCAAGACAGGGGAAAAGTAAAGAAATACCTCAGCTGCAATAGGAAGTCTCTTGCACCACATGTGTATTTTTGAATCTTGGCTGTTGTCTTTCACTGTTTTTGCTTCTTTCATATGGCAAAGAGAGGCAGTGAGAGTGTCTACATCTAATGCTGGGATTTTATGAGGACATTACCCAGTCAGTGTTGGCTATGGCCATGCTCTTGGATGCTTACACTTTTGCTAACCACACAGGAACAAAGCAAGCCTGGTTCCCAAAGTCCAGGCAAAGGCCAAGAAAACAGGGAGGACATGACTTAGTGCTAATGCTCCTCTTGATGCAAGCTTGCTAGAAGACTTTACCTCATTAATCTCACAACAGCTGTATGCGAGACTGCGGGACTTGATGATCTGAAGTTCCTGAGTGAATCCTAGGAGAGACCTAGCTTCCAGCAACCCCTCAGTGTCGCTGCTCTACTGGGGTAATGCAGATAGATACACCAAGCACTGTCCCATGGTGCTGAGGATGGTGGTTCCAGGGAAAGGATCTGTCATGGAGCTCTGGGCCAACCAGTCCCAGCCGGGTGACGAAGAGCACCCTGGGCGACAGCACCCCTTCCCAAAACACAGGTTGCGTTGGACCATAGAGCAATCATGCTCCTCTGTGCAGGAGAACAGAGAGAGAGGCCGTATAAGCCACAGAGTTGAAAGAGGACCTGCCCAGGAGAGCTGCAACAGAACAGGGAGCCAGGACTCCTGGAAGCTTTAGGCCATGCAACAATGTGTGAGCTAGAAAGAGACTCAGAGAATAGCTTGGTGGTGGCACTCTCAAGGGCAGGAGACCGGGGGAGTGTGAGAGAGCCAGCCTTGGGGTTATGGCCCAAAATGAGGAGCACCCAGGGAATTCACTCCCATACCCAAAGACCCTGCCTGACCTAGCCAGGAACAGGCGTAAATCTTTTCCATCCAGCTCCAGGAAGACCCTCTTGCCAGAAATGCTATGTGCACTGACCATGTCGAGGCACTTCACATCCTAGAAGACACTGAGAAAGTGTAGCTCTGAGCACAGCAGCAGGAAAGGGAAATGAGCCACATCTGGCTGGTTCAGGAGCTTGTCAGATCTGTAAGGTCTGTTGGTGTCAGATCTGTAAGGTTGGTGGGGTTCCACAGCAAAATTGTTGCAGCTGTGTCAGTTCAAGGCAGTAAGTGGAGAGATGTCAAATCAAAAGTGATGCATGATGAGAGAACCCCAGGGGTGGGCTGGGGCAGGTGAAACAGGGGTGCTTTCCTCAACATGGACGTGGAGTGAGAGAGGAGTGAGGCAGATTTGAGAAGGTTTTGTGGGTGTTTGTGGGAGCATGGTTACAGGGGCCTGAGGTAGCCAGTGGAAAGGGTGGGCCAAAGCACCCAGGAGACCCCACTGAGCTTGGAGCCGCTGCAGCTGGTGGGATGCTCTCTTTCTAAAGAGGAAGCTTCTTGAACCGCATGTGATTTCCCTACGTGGCTGTTTCATTTCTGTGTCTGCACCTCTCCTGCTCTGGGTTATACAGATACCTTTCCCAAGCGGCTCAGATTGAGTCCTGCCCAGGGACTTTGTGCCGGCATGGCCCTGCGAGGGCTGGCTGTGGCCTTTCTCCTGATCCTTGCCCCTCTGCTGCTTGCACAGGGACAGAGGGACCCTACTCCAAAGAACCAGGATGTTCCAAGAGGAGAACCAGGAGGTACCAAGGAATCAGGTAAGAGCAGCTTGCGCCACTCTCTTATGGAAAAGGCTTATCTGCTTGTCTACTTTTGTCTTTGTTATGTGACTTTACCCGGTTCTGCCCACAGTGGCTGTGTTAGGGAGGGCTGAAGATGGTGTCTGCTTCAGTCCTGAGATGCTCGGGCATCTGGTGGGTTGTGGTGGGGCGAAGAAGTGTTTGGGGATGGAGGGTAGCAAGCCTCGGTGTGCTGGGAAAGCTTCCATAAGGGCGGGAGCTGCAGCGTCCCTCCAGGGAGTGGGTACTGTCCCTAGGAGCAGGAGTTAGATCGTTCTTGTTGCATAGTGGACAGACGAAGCCAGGGCAATCAGAGCAGTGGTGGCCTTCCTAAGGCGGCATCCCTACCCCAGGGAAAGGCAGCGTCAGTGGTGTTTAGCAAAGACATGGCAAGCTGTGAGATGAATCCCTGTGTTAGCTGGGACACCCACTCTCTCTCCTGTGGTGCTTGGGTTTGGAGGAGCTGTAGTTTGGTGGGATTGTTCTTTAACAGCATTGCTCCTTTCTTTCTCTGTGCTAGGAGGACTAGGGACACCCTCCTGGGTGTCTGCTGGGCTCTGCCTATGGAGACTCTGTGCTTTCCTGTGGAGACTGTGAGCTGTGCCCTGGGGTTGCTGGTACCTGTCGACGTGCCCACGGGGCACTGCAGGAGCAGCTGCTCTTCGCACGAGGGGCTAGGGTGCCTGAGGGGTGAATCATTCTGTCTGCAGGGAAATGGGAGCAGAAGTGGCTTGCCAAGTCATTGGATGGGTCGTGAATCATATTACTCATTGCTGGTAGCTGTAGGGATGCTGCCCTACCAGCAAAGGGCAGCCCTCAGCTGTCCAGGGCAGGATGGAGCCTGTTTCCCGTGAGTCAGCGGCAGCTCCTGCCCCTTTCTCCCGTTACCCACAGCCCATCCCTGACAAGCCCTGTCGATACTCATGGTTCTTCCCTGCTTGGCTCTGGCTGTTATCGTCTGCCATGCTGCTGGCATCTGCAGCACTGAAGGAGGCTGTTGGAGTCTGGATTGTGCGTAGCCCAGGAGACCTGCAGGCAGGGGCAGAGTTTGCCTCCAGCTGCACAGAGGGGAAAGCCCTGCTGCCAAGCCAAGCCCCAGCAAGGCCTCTTGCTGCAGTCGGTGGTCTTCAATTGCCACCAAGTAATCATGTCTGCCATAGCAGTGTGCTGTTTTCACTTTCTCTCCATGTCCTGTGTCATTGCTGTTCAGGGAATAGCTGTCAATATCTGAATGACCCTCACGCATGTTCTAGACTAGACCTAGAAAACAAAGGCTCGCGTTACTTGCTGACAGTGCCTACAGCCCAGTTTTGCTGATCTTCCTCTCCCGACTGAGGTCTGCAAGAGACAGCCTCATGCTCCCGCTGCTCCCACTTGCTACACCCCCTCCTGTGCCCCGGCCTTGCCAGCTGTTTCCTCGCTGGCTCTTTTTGTGGATTTCTACTCCCTTAGGAGTGTAACCTGCTTGTTCTTCTGTCCTCTTGCATTTTAAGGTCATTGTCAGCCTCTTGGCTGAGCCAGGCTGTGCTTTTGCTGCATTTTCCTTCTCTGTAAGGGTGTTTCTGCCTAGCCTTTCAGATTGTAGAGCATCTCGGGGACAGCCAGCCTTTGGGTCCTGTTTCCCAACAAGTACCAACAGCAAAAAACCGTTCCTCCCCACAAGTGGAAATCTCCTCTTTTAAGCATGGTTCATTTTCCCTTGGCAGAGGGATTTCTTCGCCACTGGCTGGTGTCCCTTGCCCAGTGCTTTGTGCTGGGCAGGTAGCCCTGACTCTGCTGGGGTGGGAAGGGTCCTGGATGTCACCCTGGGGCAGGTGCGTGAGGGCTTGTGCACTGATTCATAGAGGGTTTAATGACAGGAGGGAGGAAGGTGCGTGCTGGGGATGCCTAACGAGGCTCAGACTGAGCCAAGGGTTTCAGGCCTGTCGAGGCTTTTGGCTGTCACAAGCGCCTGATCTGAGTGCACTAGCAGGGATCCAGCTGTGGTGCAAGAAGTTTCCTATCCATACAACACACCTGATCTCAAAGGATCGGGATGGTGGCCACTGTCCTTTGTCCTGGAGGGCCAGGGTGCAGGGCTGAGAAGATGTCGTGAAAACCTGCTGCCAGATAAGGGAAGTGTGGTAATGCCCCTGTTCCAGTGTAAGGGAGTGCAGACCCACGAGTGCTGCCTGGCAGGAAGCGGGCAGTTGCAGAGATGTATGTGGCTGAAGAGAGGTGTTCCATCCCATTTTAGTGGAGGCCACCTCCTACCCCGATGCCTCCTCATGGACTCAGTTGGCAGTGGCTGATCCAGTCTGGGTGACATGTCTACCAGGGCAGGACAAGGCAGGTTTGTTTTGGATGAAGTGCACAGGAAAGGCTGGGTGCATGGAGTAGGGTGTGAGCTTTGTGGCCACTGCTGTAAACATAGCTGTGGAGGTCTGAGGGCAGGCGGTTGGTGCTGGAAGCTGCTTTGCGGTGCCCAGTTGGGCAGATCTGCAATGGCAGCAGGGATTCACTGGGCCAGTGCACTCCCACAGCCCGTGTCTTCGGGGGAGAGAGCGCTGGAGAGAGCAGCGACGGAGCAGCACCCACCGGGCTGCTGGCCCCCGCTGGCTGGGACTCTTCCGCAGCACATGGGTGGGCAGCAGGGCCTGTGGGTAACCCTCCTGTGCTGCACCTGAGGCTGCAAGGAGGGAGATGCCCCTGGGGTCTGGGGCCTTGTCATGGCAGATGCTCATCTCTGCCACTCCTCCAAAGCGAGAGGGACCTCAACCCCAAGGATGCTGCTGGAGCCCGGTGATCCTCAGGGCTCTCCCTCCTGGCCTTTGCACACAGGGAGATGTCGGGCTCCCTCCGACTGGGACCTCCGGCTGCGGTTCACCCCGAAGCAGAGCAGCTACGCCCTGAACGACGTGGTGCAGCTGCGCTGTGCTGGGGAGTACGTGCCGTCGGTCGCCCAGATCAGATGCATTTCCAGCGGGACCCAGACCCTGTGGAACGGGACTGCCACCTGCAAGGGAAAGCACAGCCCTCCGTCACCCTGACCACAGGGTCCCAAGCTGGTGGCAGACCCCCTGTGATGTGGCCTTCCCTTAGCCCCATCTGGGTTACAGTCCAGGACACAGGGACCTGGATGTCTTGGCTTTCCCTCTGTCGCTTTGTCTCAGCAGCTTGCCGTGGGCAGCTGGTGGGGTCTGTGCTCCCGAGAAGGGGTTTAAAAGGCAGGAAGCCTTCCTGGCCAGCATCTCCTGCCTCCACGTGGAGAGCTGCAGTTGTGAAGCTGGGAGCAGGAGGAATAGCTGGAGGGGTTGGTCTCAAGGCTTTGGGACTCTGTGTTGTTTGTTCCCCTGGGAAGCTTCTCTGGGGTTTGGGAGAGCTCTGGTGGGGGAGGATGTCAGTGCTGCACTGCTCACCTGGGCATGAGGGGGGCCAGGAGAATAGGGTGTCAAGCACCCCACGAGTGGGTGGAACTCAGGAGAGGCTTGGGAGTCCTGGAGATAGGGGACATGGTAAGCCCTGTGCACCTGAACAGTGCCCAGGCACACGGCAGGAGTAGAGAGATGCTTGTGTGTGTCAGGGTCAGTGGTCAGAGTCATGCTGAGGAGAGCGCTGTCCCGAGAGTTTTCTTGTCATGCACCAAAAATACTCCTCACCCCATTTTACCTCTGACTGAAACATGCCAAGGGCATGTTTGGTGGACCCAAGACTCCAGATGGTACCAATCCGTGGGGATTACGAAAAGAATGAAGTAACGACTCTGAGCTGTAACAGTGGCTTCTAGCCATCCTTCACCCATGTAAAATGGGCAGGGGTAGCGCAGCCATTGAATTATTATGGATCTCTAAACAGAGATGTGTGGCTGGGGAGGAAAAACAGTGATGCCTGGATCCAGATTGAGGGGAACATAGAGTGCATCAGTAAGCAAGGTGTCAGAAGGTGTCTCTTATGGACAAATATGTGGTCAAATATGGCCCCAGTCATCCATCTCTGAGCTTCCACCATCACCACTGGGGCCAGGGATGCACTTCTGATGCCTGATCAGGTGACTCAGATCTCCCTGTTTTTGATATCCAAGACCATTCCCCCACTGAATGCTGGTCCATCCTCGCCCATCACCTGCCCGGGCAGGCTCCAGCCCTAGCTGACATCCACCCACAAGGAGATCCCCATCCCAACAAGCCTTGCTGCTGTGTCACCTCCCAGCAGATGGATGTGTCCCCTTGCCTCTCCCTCCAGGGACTGAAGGCATTGCTGGGGATTGCTGACACCTCACCACATATCTCTGACCCTCCTCAAAACCTTCTACCCCAACTAATGCCCACTTTCACCCCTGCCAGAAACATGCCAAAGGCCTCGCTGGGGCCGAGGACTCTGGCTGTCGCCAGTCCAGGAGAATTACAAGAAGAATGAAGAGGTGATGCTGAGCTGTCCTGAGGGTCTCCAGCCATCCTTCACCCATGTCAAATGTGCAGGAAAAGTCCTGTCCATCATCTATGGGAAACCTATATACAGAGAAGCTTGGCTTGGAAAGGACAGCAGTGGGCAATGGATAAACATTCAGTCGACGTTCAACATGGAGTGTGTCGGTAAGGGAGGTACCAGGAGCTCTCCTGGCTGCCCCGCTCTGCCCTTCCCGAGCAGGGCAAGGCAGGCTGGGTGTGCACAGGAGGTCTCAGGCTCTTTGTCTGCCTGGGGAAATGGTAGATGCTGCTGAAGGCAGTGTTGAGGCAGCCGCTGAGCCTGCCCTGTGCTTGCCCCAGGGGTCCTGCTAACACCTTCCCATCTCGTTGGTGTAGAGAAGTGCCAGAAGCCTGAGTGGGACTCCAGGTTTATCTTTGACCAAGAACAGGGGACCTTCAACCCAAACGATGTGGTGAAGATAAGATGCCCTGAGGGGCACTGGCCTCCACCCATGGAAATCAAATGTGTGAAGCTGAACCCAAGGGAAGGCTCCATGGTTCCTCGCAGCGGCTGGATTGTGAGAAATGGCACAGGCCACTGGCACCCTATGGAGGGGAACTTGACCTGTGTGGGTAAGTGAACGAACCAGTCTCTCTTCCAGTGCTCTCAGTTTTTCCTCCCCAAGCAGGGAGAGCGGTGCTGGATGTGTCCCACAGCACTAGTGCCCTGTGCTTGGGGTGGTCAGGGTATGGTGTGGGCATTCGCTCCAGATAAAACCACCATGGGTGCATCCCAGGTTTGTGTCTGCATTGCTGGCAACTGAGGCACCCTGCACCGAGGGGGACAAGTCCTCGCTGCTACACAGAGGGCACCAGGCAGCATGCCCGGACCAGTCAGATGGGTCTACCTGGAGAAAAGCATGATAGCCAAGAAGCAGGAGGGCAGGGTCCTGCTCTGGCTGCTGGATTTGTTGACTAAGTCATTGCTGGTGTGAAAGGGACCTGTCACCAGACCAGCTGCTAGCCCGAGGAGGGCAGCTGCAGAGAAGACACAAGTACTTTCTCGTACCCTCCCACAGCCACTGCAGCACCCAGAGTAACCCTGGAAATGGTCCAGGGCCAGAGGAAGGAGTAGGCAGTGCCTGAGTGTAGCCTGGGAGAAGGCACGACGGCCTTGTCCACATTGTGCTGGGCATAGGGTAGTGAGGGAACAGTGAGGACGACAGAGCTCAGCTCCCAGGCTCGGAGAGGAAGGGAAGGGAGTCACCCTCTTGCAATGTTTCCTTCACAGATGTCCTCCAGGTTGTCTCCGAGACCTTGGAGATTTCCAGCACCAGCATCAAACTGGACTGGATCTGCAGGCTCCCTGACACCTGTCATCACATTTGGGCCAGGTGCCGGCTGGAGGAGCTTTCCTCCCCTCCCTGTGAAGCTAAGGAGATGAAGGCAGAGGAGATGCTACAAGGCCAGGAGGGAACATTCACCTGTTCTGCTCTGCAGCCTTTCACTGTCTACAGTGTCACCATCACTCTGCCACCCAGCACAATCCTGTACACACGTCTCCTCAGGACAAAGGAAACAGGTACGCACACAAAATGTAAAGGTGCCCTTTGTCCAGCAGCTCAGCCTGAGTGTCCGCTCCCTGCAGTGATGGTCCTGGGACTGGGGCTGGTTGGAGCCTGTGGTGCACTGGGGAAGGGACTGTGCAGGGCCCTGCAGCACAACATGTCCCCTCCTCACTCTCCCCTTCCTCACCGCACCGTTGCTGCTGCTGCAGAAGGTGCAGATTTTGTAGGGGACAAATGCTCACAGCCCTCATGTGTGACTCTGTCCTCCTGTGCTTCCAGTGCCAGACAAACCTGAGAAGCTGTGGCTGGATCCCAGCGTGGGGTCCCTCAGGTGGAAGGCGCTGCCCTCCTGCAAAGGGGAGATCATCGGATACCAGGTACCAGTACCCGTGCTCCCTCTCACCCCTTGCCAGGCACATCGCTGACTGGAGCTCTGTGCAGGCAGCCTGGGGAGCAGTGTGAGCTCTCCTCGTCCAGCGCCCACCAGCTCTACACTGCTGGTGTTTCTGGTGGGGTCAGGTCCTCTCCTGTCACCAGCCAGCAGTAGTAGCTCCTCTCTGCAGTGCTGCGCTGAGCAGGAGCAGGAGGTTGGTGCTGCTCCCCACCAGCTCCCTGTCCTTCCTCTAGCTGAACATCACGACAAGGAGAGCACACGACGGCAGCTTCCTTGAATTCAAGCAGGTGATGGTGAACCAGTCTGTCACTCAGTACACGCCGCCTCCTCAGACACCTGGAAGCAAATACACGGTGACAGTGCAGGGCCTCACGGCGGCTGGTGCTGGGGAGGCGTCACTGCTGGAATTTCAAACCTACGTCTCGGGTAATGGATGTTCTGCCCTGGGTCTGGCTGAGGTGGCCTCCCTGTGAGCGAGCGCTAAGCCTGGAACAGCTTCCAGAGCTGTGTGTGCACTCACCCTGTCCCCACCAAGACGGAGACCGGGGCTGTGGGCACCGTGAGCCTGACTCAGCAGTGGGGAGGATGGGGCTGGGTGAGTCCTGCTGTGGGGGGGTGAATTGCCTGGTCTCCAGAGCCGCTGCGTTGCTTCAGCCCCTGTTTGTGCATGCAAGAGCAGAGGTGGCTCCTCTACTCTCCCATTAAAGAAGATGATGATACCCACCCCTGCAGAAGGGCGCATGGAGGGCTCAAGGTCAGACAGTACTAGGGCAGCTGAACCTGGGTCTGTGTGTTCTCCTGCTGTGCGCAGGCTGGTTGAGCAGGCTTCCAGACCCTCTAGTTGTGTATGGGAGATGGGGCAAGTCCCTGTGCTCCAGAACCTCCCTCTGCCATGCCCTACTCTACTCATCAGATGTGAGGGCAGAGGAACGCTGTGCCTGTCTGTCTGTCCCTGCGGCATCCAGGACAGCAGGACCCAGACACATGTGTCTACAGACATGCAGACACCCAATGCCAAGGTCGGGGCCACCGCTGGTGCATGGTCCGGGCTTTGGCACCCACTCCTGGCTGTCTGTTAGTTGCAGGGCAGCCTCTGGGCTCGTGGCCTGGGTCGGCAGTGATGGTGGTGGTGGTGGTGGTGGTGCTGGTGCCCCTGTTTGCAGGGATCCTGTGGTTTGTGCTGTCCAGGTGAGTAGGAAGGAAAGAGGATTGCTGCTCTGCCTCTGGCCATGCTGGGCTGTGGGGTGGCTGGGGGTGGAGAGGGGATTTCCCCAGCTGCTCCCACCGTTCTCCAGGCACAAGGGATGTAGCTGGCTGGTCCTACCATAGCTTGGCTGTAGGGCTCCTGGCTGGGGCTCATAAGCATCTTCCTTGGGCCTGGGGCAGGGATCGTGTGTGCAAAGAGACACCCTCCCCTCCCCCTCCTTGTTGATGTTGCTGCCACTGCTGCTGTCCCCTGGGGTGTTGATGGGCAGTGCCTGCCAGCTCGTGAGAGGCAGGGAGGGAGGGTCTGCAGAGCCCTCCATGCCTCTGCCGCCGCGTTCAGCGGGGCCCTGGGACACACCAGCCCCTCTCCCACTCAGGACTGCCCTTTGCCTTCCCAGGAGAAGGAAAGCCTTGCCCAGCAAAGCTGAGGAGGACCATTACACAGGTAGGGTCCCCATCACAAAGACGGCTGTAGAGCTGGGGCTGGAGCTGGGATGGGAGCAAGTCTGTTGCAGGATAGCCTGCAGGTCTATTGCAGGAGCCTGTTGGCATCCCGGGGTGGCTGCAGGGAGCCCAGCTGGCTCTGGGTGATGTCCTGTTGTTCCCTCAGAGCTCCAGCCCTACGAGAACTTGGATAATTACTGCGTGATCAGGGAGACCCGTCTGGCACAGGAAGATGCAGGTGAGAGATGGAGTGCCCTGCCTGTTCCCACCAACAACAGGGAGAGGGTGGAGAGGGGCAGCTGCGACAGTGTGAGCTCCGCATGCTGCTGAGGGCCGGCAGCAGCTTCTGCCCACGGTGATGTTGGTTTTCACAGGTAAAGGTGGCCAGGCTGGAGAGCTCTTGCCCCAGCACCTGTCTGTCCTGGAGTCCTCAGGAGACACTCTGAGCAGTGAGATAGAGAGGAAGATGAGGTGGATGTCCAGGACTCAATGCTGATGGTACTTCCCATGTCCACTTCTCAAGGCTTGGTCCTCCACCACTGGAAGCAGGACCCCATATATCTTCTGCTGGGTTATTGCTCCCCCTCAAATTTACTCCCTCGTCAAGCTCCAGCATTCTCTGTCACAGAACAGGAGCAGCCGAAGGCCTGGGACAACCTGATTGTGCCAGTAAGGACATGTTCTGATAGTCCTCCATTGCTCTGGCAAAGCCGTCTATCCATCTAGACCCTGGCCTCTGCTTGAGTTTGGTCCAACCACGCTGTGTCCAAACAACCAATAAATTGTTCTGGTTTGCAGGGGCTGCCTGCCCCACAAGATCTCCCACCTTGTCGTGGTTCTTCTGCTTTATGTGTGAAAAACCCTGCCCCTATGAATCTTCATGGAGGAACTTGGACTGGGCTTTTCCAGTGCCCAGAAGCCCTGAGGAAGCACGTCTAAGAGGCTGCATGCTCCCAGCGCAATGCTTCGGGTTGCTGCTTTCTCTCCTCCCTGTCCTATGAGTAGCATGATCTCAGCTAGGCCTGGCTGGACCTCTGTGTTGGTCTGTGACCTCCTCTCTGGGTGCTGGTGCTCGTCTCCCACTTTGTGCTGTGTAGTTGGCCCCGGCCCCTTGGGAAACTCCCACCCTGCAGTCTCTGGGATCTATTCGGTCTCGGTTGTTGCTGCTGTCCTGGTGCATCCCCCAGCAGCCACTGCCTCTCCCATGCTGAGGGATGCTGGCGACCGGTGCAGCCCGGAGGTTGAGGGACAGCCTGAAGGCTCTCCTTGGTGAGGAATACACTGCTGGAAGAGAGGGCAGTTGACCACTCCCTTCTCCAGCCTTTTCTTTGGCTTTGGATGACCTGCATGTGCCAGTAAATACATGTTCTAGCAATTTTTCATAAGAGCTGTCTGATCATCATTGTGGTACCTGCAACTGCCCCTTGGGACCAAAGCGTCTCCTTCCCATGGGCTCTCGGTGGTGTGACCTGCATGTCTGATGGAGCTACTCCCGATGGGTATTGGACAGCGAGGAGAAGAGGGACCTTAACTGCATTTGGCTGCTACTGGTTGAGGAAGCGGAATGCGCAGGGTTGGGGTATGGGTAAACGGAGGGTTGGTTTGTGCTCTTGCCACCTCCTGGATTGTCCTGCTCCCTACCCCCATATCCAGTCAGACCCCAGCCTCTCTGCCTGCTCTGTCTGCACAACCGGAGGCTCGTGGTTTGGAGGGTGCTCCCCACCCCGCCATAGCTCCTGCCTGGGCCCTCATTGTCCTTGTGGTGTCATGTTCCCTGTGGGGTGCTGAGTTGACTGCAGCTTGTTGAGGGGAGGCCATGAGCAGGGCTGCTGTGGCCTAGAGCCGTGGCTGACAGCATCCCCAGGACTTCAGGGCTGTGCTGGGCAGCTCTGATGTACATTTGGATGGAATGTGTGGTGGGAACTATTCAGGAGGATGGGGCCAAACTCTTTTCAGTGGTGCCCAGTGACAGGACAAGGGGCAATGAGCACAAACTGAAGCAGAGGAAGTTCCGCCTGAACATGAGGAAGAACTTCTTCACTCTGAGGGTGATGGAGCACTGGAACAGGCTGCCCAGGGAGGTGGTGGATTCTCCCTCTCTAGAGATATTCAAGACCTGCCTGGACAAGGTCCTGTGCAGCCTGCTGTAGGTGACCCTGGACTAGATGACCCACAGAGGTCCCTTATAACCCCTAACATTCTGTTATTCTGTGTGATTCTGTGAGTGGTGGTACTCTCTCCCATTCATCCTGGGCAGGAGCATGTCCTGTGCATGTGTCATTGGCAAAGCTGAGGGACAAGCATGGTCCTGGCTCCTCCTCAGACCTGGGGCTTGTGACCCAGCCCTCTCTGTGATCTGAGACATCCCAGGTGGGCCCATGAGAGGTTCTGGAGGAAGAGAAAAGCAGGAGCTGCTGAGGAGGAAGGGGGATGCTTTAGTAGCTCTGAGTGTTTCCTCAGGCACTCAGCTGGCACTGGAGGGCAGGGTGGTCTGCACGCTTCGAGGCAGATGAGAGTGTTGCCAGGCTGAAGGGGAGGATGAGAAGGCAGCTGGGGATGGAGGAGCAGGGAAGGACAAGAGAGAGTGTGGGCTGAGTGTATCTCATCAGAGCCAACGACAGTTCCAGGCCATGAGGTACTCTTTGCAGTTCTTGCCCTATTCCTATCCTTGCTTCTTGCCAGCTCTTTATGTGCTTGCTCAGAGGTCTTCCGTCTCCTGCGATCACTCAGGGGAAGTGCAGTGACTCATCACAACTGTAACACCCATGCAGTGGCGTTGGAAAGCACGTGGACATTGCCTCAGACATACGAGCAGTGTTTCTTGGATGCACTATGGTAACTAGGAGGATTTTGGAGGGGAAACCCTGTGATCCTGGTGACAGGGGTTCTTCTGTTGAGTACCAGTGCCTGGATGCCCCTGGGGAAAAAAGACAGCAGCTCTGACACTGATGGGAGGTTCCCTCCCCAGAGAGGAAGCATGTAGCTCTCATGAGATTTCCCCATGTTTCTGTTTCCTTCCTGTGGTTGCAAGTCTTGCAGTCAGTTACAGATGCCCGGGCTCAGAGGCAGCGAGTGGGGCTGAGATTTCAGTCCTGCCTGGGGACTTCATGGTAGCATGGCCTCGCAGTTGCTGACTCTGAGCTTTCTCCTCGTGCTCGTATCTCTGCTGGCAGCACAGGGCCAGGAAGAACCTGATCCCAAGGTCCAAGGAGTGCCCTGGGAAACAGGTAAGAAGCAGTTCCTCCCCTCTCCTCAAGAGAAGATGTTGCTGCTCCTCCCCTTGCAGGTTTGATGGGCGTCTTTACTGCCTGCAACCCTGGGCTGGGGCCAGCGCCAAGGGGGGAGCCGGCCATTGCTGGGAGACCCTGGACCGGACCCATGGTGTGGTGTGGGTGCACTGGGGGTGTGATGGGAAGGACAGGGTTGGGCTGCATGGTCAGGGATGGATGATGCCCTGCACTGAGCCAGTTTGCCAGTCGCTCCCTGAAGCTGCAGGCATCAATCAGACTTGATTTTGTGAGTCAGGGGAAGGGCCTTCAGGGAGCAGGGCTTTAGATACACATCCTACGCCCAGGTGTGCACGAGGGATGCTGCCTGCTGAGAGCAGAGCAACAGGGACCTTGCTGCTGCTTTGCCAGCTGGATGGGCCTGGGTGTGGGGAGTGGCTGGGCCAGTGGAACAGTGGGACGCAGCTGCTGTTTGTGGTGCTCAGCTGGGCATCTCTTGACTTCAGCTGGGCATCTCTCGCCTCCAGTAATAAGGGCTGTTTGAGAGCAAAGCCTGACTGCAAGAGGCTTGTTCACCAGCATGTCTATACTTCTTCGTGGGTGTTCAGAAGATGGTCTGAACCTTGCAAGATCAGTTCTCTGCCACTTTGGGAAAAGAAGATTGTATTTTAAGCACTTTGAGGCCTTCCAGAGCCCCTTGCAGAGGCTGGAACAGGGAAGTGCTCCTTCCTACGTGACAGTATCCTTGCCTGTAGGAATCATTGCCACAAAGCCCCCGCCTGCAGCTCTCAGCAAACTGCTGGGACAGGCTGTGCCTTCTCAAGCCCATAGGATGGTGAATGTGGTGAGGAGGGGATGTGGAGGATGGAGCCGGGCTTGTGGCGGGCAGAAGGGGCAGGGGCTGTGGTAAAGCAGAGGATGTGAACAGGGAAGGTGTTGCTCAGCCTGATGTCCCACTGCATGGTGGTGTGGGGAAGGAGGAGAGCAGCCGAGGGACTGACTGAGCTGGCACAAGGACACCAGAAGTGTAACAGGGACATCTTTGATCCCTGTGGGAGGGCTGAGCCATGGCTGGAGAGACCTGCATCCCAGCAGGGCTGGTGGTGCTGTGGTCCATCAAGGACAGCCTGAGCTGGGGTGGGTGACATGTCTGCAGAAGAGGCTGGAGGGGGGCTCCTAGTGCACAGGGGATAGTCCTGGCAAACTCCATGCCATGGGCTGTGAAGGAGGGCAAATGCACACAAGGGTAGGGGGGTGAGGTTCATGAATGAGTAATCATTCACGCTTCATGCACACAGGGAGAGCCCCATTCCAACAAGCCTTGCCAAGGGGTCATGTCCTGGCAGATGGATGTGTCACCTTCCTTCTCCCTTTCGTGGCTGGATGGATTGCTGGGGACTTTTCTCCGACCACCCACCCATGCCTCCCATCACCTCCCACCTCCCACCCCAGCTAACACCCACTTTCACCTCTGCCAGAAATGTGCCAAAGGCCTCGGTGGGACTCAAGGCTGCAACTGGCACCAGACCAGGAGAATTACAAGAAGAATGAAGAAGTGATGCTGACTTGTCCTGAGGGTCTCCAGCCGTCCTTGACCCATGTAAAATGTGCGAGAGAAGTCCAGTCTATTAGTCATGGGAAACCCGTATACAGAGAAGTTTGGCTTGGAAGGGACAGCAGCAGTGGCTGGATCCGCATTCGGTCCAGCGTGGAGTGCGTCGGTAAGGGAGGCACCAGGAGCTCTCCTGGCTGGCCCGCCCTGCCCCTCCCCAGCAGGGCCAGGCCGGC